GATAGCTGTTCTATCTCGAAATCATAAGTCATCATGACGAAGTGTTTGAGTGTGCTGGCGTTGTTCAGATTTACAAATTTCATTTGTAAATCTACTATTTGTATTGAATATGTCTGCTATATCTGGTCCGGTAGTCCAAAGAAGGATCTCTAATGTCATGGGTCCTGAAATGGCATCTCGACTTTAGTGACTTTACCAACGCCGTGATGTAGCTCACGTCCGTTTTTCTATGAATATTTTAAGGTTAATTTTTCTGATGAGCGTAAGTTCCATTCTGAAAGTTTCTTTTACTCCCACTTTTCACCCATGGAAATCTTTTCCAAATTCTAGCTTTCATGTCACCAACGTTCTTGAAAAATTTAAATGCAACATCAATCACCAACTTCTGTCTATTTTCCAACATGTTCTTTTATTGTCCTTTCTGATTTCACCAGCTAAATTGTTTCAGTAGTAGTTGTTCATAGCAAATCGGCTCATATACTTCATACAAACACAAATATTTGAAGATAGATAGATAGATAGATAGATAGATAGATAGATAGATAGATAGATAGATAACATATAGATAGATAGATAGATAGATAGATAGATAGATAGATAGATAGATAGATAGATAGATAGATACGAATAGATAGATAGATAGATAGATAGATACGAATAGCATAACATAGATAGATAGATACGAATAGATAGATAGATAGATAGATGCGAATAGAATAACATAGATAGATAGATAGATAGATAGATAGATAGATACGAATAGCATAACATAGATAGATAGATAGATAGATAGATAGATAGATAGATAGATAGATACGAATAGATAGATAGATAGATAGATAGATAGATAGATAGATAGATAGATAGATACGAATAGAATAACATAGATAGATAGATAGATAGATAGATAGATAGATAGATAGATAGATAGATAGATAGATTAATTCACATCCATTCTCGCATCGCTTTTTCAATGTTGGTCGTTTTTCTCACTCATTGTCGTCAATTTTTCCGCCTTTATTTTTTACAATTTTTCTTGTTTCGCAGCAACACTGCTTTTAAGACAAATGCCCGGCCCCTTACAGCAATGTCTCAGTTTGTCAATCTTTCTCTTTCGGTTGTTTTCAGATCTATCTACAATTTGTTTTCATTTATTTCACTCATTGTAATTATTATTTTTTTTTAGATATATATTTCGTATGGAACAATGAGAAAAAGTAATAAAGCATTAGAAGAATTTTGTGTTTTGTACTTGAAAGAATTAATGATTGACAAAAAGAAAGAGGAATTAGAATTTAGGCTATGGCGAAAACGTGTGAAGTTATTAAAATACGAATGAAGAAAGGAAGAAAGAAGGTAGGAAAGAAGAAAGACAGAAACGAAGCAAATATACAAACGTATGCAACAAACAATAAAAATACGAAAAGTGAAGAAAATTATACGCAATGATGATAAAAGAGCAGTTAACAACGGGAAAAGATGATTAAGAATTGAACAAGTGAAAGAAGATGGGAATGAAGAAATGGAAGTTATAATTAAAGCAAACAGTAACAATATAATAAAAAATGGTAGCAAGAAATGGTGTCTGAAAGAAAGAAAGAAAGAAAGAAAGAAAGAAAGAAAGGGAGAGAGGAAGGGAGATTATAGTAACAATATTGTCAAGAATAAGGGGGGAAATAATGTTGTCTGAAAGAAAGAAACGAGCGAACGGGCAAATAAAGAAAGAGAATGAATAAAAGTTGCAAGCGAGAATGTTTATTGAATAATAGATTAAAAACAAAGAAACAATAACGAAAAATATTTAATGAACGAAAAGGAAGAAAGAAAAGAAATGGTCTCTAAAAGAAAGAATCAAACAAAGTGAAATGGCAAGGGATGGGAAGGAAAGCATTGAATAGATAGATTGATAGGTAGGTAAGTGGAAAGAAAGAAAGAAAGAAAGAAAGAAAGAAAGAAAGAAAGAAAGAAAGAAAGAAGAATGAATGAATGAAAGGAAGAAAGAAAGAAATGCACTACAGAAATTGTTCGAGGAATTATAGACTAAAAAGAAAAGAAAATCAACAAAGAACGTCATAATTTAATGAAAGGAAGGAAGGAAGGAAGGAAGGAAGGAAGGAAGGAAGGAAAAGAACAAAAAAAGAATGAAGGAGGGCAATATGACTGTCGTTCAAATAACAAACAATATAAGCAAGAGCCATATAGCCATAAAAATGTATATTTGGGTGAAAGAGAAAAAGAAAGAAAGAAACAATAAATAAATAAAATAAATAGAATTTTAAAAATGAATGCGCACAAAATCAATAAAGAAAAGAAAAATCAAACGTAGTTTCTGAATAGAAAGATATGAATTAAGGGACTAATTAATGATTGAATGAAGAAAAAAGGATGACGATGGGAAAGAGTAATAAACAATGCCAGCAAGTATAATTGGCATAAAAATGGCGTCTGGATAAAAAAAAAAATAACTTAAAATTGGCACACAAACAGAAAATAACGAATACAAACAATAAAAGAGTAATTATGAAAGAACGAAAGAAGGAAGCCTGGTAAGGAAGTAATGGTAAAATATTTGATTAAAACGGTGTTTTGCAAAAAAATGGAAAAAAAATCGCTGAAAGAAAGAAGGACAGGAAAAGATTCAAAAGAAATAAACTTCACAGAAGTGAAAAGACGCGGTAGAATAACTTAATAAAACCAAAATGATGAAGATTGGAACAATGACGAAAAAAAAATGAAACGAGGAAGGTGAGAAAAAAAAACAAGAAAATTGAAGAAGAGACAAAAACATAGTCTCAAGCCTAAAGTAAATGTAATCCGCGAAGTGGCTGTGTCCATTTTAGTCTGAATTTGACAAGAACAGTAAAACAAACACATTGATAAACAACGAGAGACGCGTAACGAATGCATTTCAATAAAAGAACTCACAAAACGAATCTGCTGTACGAACACATTAATCAGCAAACAGAAACATATCTGTTGTATATATTTGTTTGTCTTGACAAAGATGCCTATCAAATTCATCTCACAGCTCAATCTGCTAATGTAGGTATTTTCACTGCCTAAACCATTTCCATAGCCTTATGCCAGACTACTTTAAGCTTGGAAATATATAGTATTGCAGTACGTCCAGCCGTCGTGAAACGTTTAACAAACGAGATAGACCTTGTGATATTCGTGTGGTAGTTGCTCAGGTACGCACTGACTATTGTGTTCTGTGCGAACCTGAGTGGCTACCACATATATTTTTGTACTATATTTAGCTAACTATACTGGACTCTATCTTACCCTTGGACAACATCGGTGGCGTGGAGATGGGCAAGCAATGATCTCTCATAAACCCCCTACCTGACCTGCTCCCTGGAGAGGAAACTCCAGAGACGTCTCACCGCGACGACAAAACACGGGAATAGTCGTCTGATAGGATTATCCCAAGGCTGCTTCTGTATGGGGAACTGGCCACCAGCAAGAGGGCACGAAGCCGACCTCATCTTCGCTTCAAGGACGTCTGAAAAGGTGACACGAGAGCGATTTACATGCATACGAGAGGGAGGAAAACGTCGCTAACGATCGCTCACGCTGGAAACACGATTTACACCGATGGCTTGGAACGATTACAGATGAAACGGGGGCTTGCGACCGAGGTGAAACATGCTCGAAGGAAAGAAAACAACACAGCGATATCGGCGGAGAGAGTCCTGGGTATGATGATAAACTACATCCGGCAACAAAGCCTCTGTTTGGGGGTTTTTGAGGAGCGTGGAACCAGCGCTGTTGTTCACGAGTCCACCCTGGGCCGACATGGTAGCATCTGTTAGGGTCCCGGCTATGGACAAATGGTGAACCCACAAACAAAAACAAAACTTTATGAAATACATTTTTATAGTAAAAATACCAGAAATTTATTTTTATATTAAAAAATACCAACAATATCGACTTATAATTAAAATTACCAACAATACATTAATCAACATGAAAGAATTCTTTCATGATATTAATCCATTCAATATCCCACAATTCCTTAAATCAAACTTTATTTCAAAATATAATTTCAATAAAAGAACGTAAAACACACGTATCGCTGCTTCTAGTAATCTCCACACAAACATGTACATATACAAAAGCTGAGTATCATCTACCATGTATTCAACTGTGAAAGCAGACTAACATAAATCATATTTTTATTACTCAAGAAAATTAAATTTCGGCATTAAATGACCTATAATGAGTTGATATGTCGGCAAGCAAACAAATCAAATCAAATCTGGGGAAAGCGTCTTCACATGCACTGGGTGCAAACGAGAGTGTCACTCTCGTGTGGGCCTGTTCAGCCATAACAGATGCAGTGCCGCCATCAGCAGCTGAGGCATTTGGGTACAGATTCAAGGTCTCAAGAGAGCGACGTATGCGTCATTAGTAAAACTACATTCTGTTTCTCCTGGTGAGTTAGATAGGTGAGGTTCGTTAATTTAACCACATATGAACCTTTCATCGGTAAATCATATAGGAGAAAAATCACAAAACTTTGCCGAATTTTAAATGATTAATTGAAACGTCAAAACAAAGCTTGTGTTCATTTTGTAGGTAACTTCAACATGTTTTATTAAACTTATTGGATCTCTTATAAAAAATGCAGAGAACGTAGTGGATAAAACAAAATATCTAGATGTGTAAAAATCCTCGCCAGTGACGAGAATGACACAACGCATAACTAATCAAAAATATTTTGTAGTGTGGACGCGGAAACATATAGATAGATCGATAATGTAAACCTATTTAAACTCGGCGGGTGAAAAAAATCTGGATAGCACAATTTTCAAACAAATTGTCATCCGAGGAAAAAAAAATGGGAAAAAAAGAAATAACCAGAAACCTCCGAACAGAGCGAAAGAAATCGTCCCAACAGCGAGTAATACGCTAAGTAGAGCAAAAGTAAAATAAATAAATCCAGTTTAACATGATGATCCCATGTGATAAAACGTAGGTAGGTATTACCTGGCTCATTAGGATTTTTTTCGATAGATAGATAGATAACAGGCTGAGATAGATAGATAGATAGATAGATAGATAGATAGATAGATAGATAAAAAATTATACTGAGAGATGCCCAGCCCTGGGGAACAGCTGCCCGAAGCCGCGCCATTTCATTTAACCAGAAAGAGGGATCGATGCTGGTACCGACGCCAGCGCAACCGCGGGCAATTTTTGTTCCTTGCCCGGGTGTACATGCTCGGGTTCCCACCTTAAAAAAGAACTTGTGTCACAACTCATCTTAGTGCGGAAACAGAGTAAATACATAGAGAGATAGATTGATAGATAGAAATGAGAATGAATTTTGGTAAATATATAGAAATGAATGAACACTTCCACTGTCTGTTATATCATGCAAACTTTGACAATACAATAGTTAGATATGAATGAAAATTGGGAAGATAGATAGATAGATAGATAGATAGATAGATAGATAGATAGATAGATAGATAGATGAGAAACAACAGGAATAGTCCAACTGTTAGGAAGACATATCTATAGGTACAAAAGACAAATAAAACAGTCTGTGCATATTCACGTGCATGTTTTATGTATATAGGTGCATCTGTGTGCAAAAGCCATTTAAAATTGTATATAAGACTATATTTAGTCGTCCCCCCACGAGGGCGTCATGTGGCACAAGGCCTTTTTAACGTGGGCATTTCCGAGCCATTAGGCTCGGCCAAAGAATAGTCCATTTGAACCCGTATAAACGGGTTCAGGGCCATTTTACCTCCCGAAGGAGACTCCGCCCTTCGGCGTAGCCTCCTTCGGGTTCCTCTCCGTCCGTAGACAGAGAGTTGAACCGAACTGTCGCTCAGAAAGTATTGTATATAAGACACTGTCATGCATTCATATTCTACTATTCTTCTTATTAATATCTAATTTAGATATTTATGACTATTTTCCAGACGGGTGAAAAAAATAAAACACTTCTAATTAGAATAACTTAAAGGACAATTATCTAGTGTTTACGATCTGAAAATTCGTTGCGTAATTTTACACTTTGTCAAAAATTACAGGTCATGGTTTATAATATGCTTTCTTCAATGTTTGAGAGTTGATAAATACTTTAATATTTCGTGCAATGTATATATTAAATGCAATTAACTTTGCTTTTATATTGATAGATCATGGTGATGGGGATAAACGTTGACTTTTTTTGTGATAAGTTTTGAAATAAGTCTAATTAACAACCAATGTGAGATGGACTATGATATGATCTGTAGAATCAAACAGGCGTCAATAGCTTTTACGAAACTGACAAAATGAAATCTCTGAAAAGAAAAATTTATCCGTAAAAATCAATATCAGGTTTTATAATTTCGAATATGTCATCCCCTTTGATCTATAATAGTGAAACATAACAGCTGAAATAAAACAAAGATAGAGAATGTGGATGCTTTCGACTGTAAATGCCGAAAGAAAACGCTAGGAATCCGGTGGATGGAATTTGTAACGGACAAATATATGATCTGCGTCTACTCTTCTTGAAAATCTGTAAACGACTGGTGAAATAGCTTAGTCATGCAATAAACCAGCTGGCCGGCAACAAACCATCTAAAAGTACTTGAGACTAGTGATAAACTTGGAGTGACACCAGATTACTGATCGAAGTGAGGAGCGTCGTCAATCACAAGCGGTTGAGTGCTGATTGATTTCGATTGAACTGCTAATTCTTTTCAGTTTGAAAAGTTTCAGAAAAAACATGGTTAGAAAGTAAGAAAAACAGCTAGTTTATGGTTCAACGTGTCTACCCTCAAAACGAGCAGGATTTTGAAATAGCATCAGGACAAAATATCCTACAGTTTTAAGCTTTAAACTAGATAAATAGTATCACTTTTTTAAACTATTATTACTGGTAGAAAGCCTTGAAAATCTCACAGCTTTCCGATTTTAATTTTCTAATGAATGATAATTCTTAAGTTAATGATTGAATAAGTTCTTTGTGCGATTCACCATTATAAACCACCCGTAAAAATACTCGTATTGCAACGTAAATATTTGAACTTAACCAAATATTGCAATAAGAATCATAAGTATGAATGCAGGTCATTATTTAAGAAGTAAGAGGGTACAAATGGAAAGATTTGAATTTGACAAGTTTTCCATTTCACTGGTGCAAACGTTAAATATATGAGAGGGTTATCGTCTCTTTTATGTTCTCTCTTTCTTTCGTTCATTCTTTTTGTTTGTTTGCTTTTTTCACTGAAACCAAACAACATCTCTGAATGCCTTTCCCTTCTTTCCTCTCGATCGAAATCGAATAGATCATAATTTATGAGCTATTGACAGGCTATAACTTATACACTATCTAACTAAGAAACTAAGGGGAGTTGAATTATATGATTGTTTACGTCATTATAACAAGAGCGTCTTTTGTCCGTTATTGAAGACCAATTGACAATAGCTTTCTTCAATCTCTAACACGTTTCTGAGTATTGTCGACTTCAAAAAGGCTATACTTCAAATTATTTCAATTTTTCTTTTGATTTATAATTGCTCCCAGTTTCTTGTTTCAGGTAAAACAATGACAATAAATGTTTTGATCAATGTTTCTAATTGTTTTTATTTCTAAATGTTTTCTTTCTTTTAAGTTATCTATGTAAATCACGTAGGAAGATTTTTTCCTTTGAATAAGTGAGCTTGTGTCATTTACAGTTTATTCCTAGATTAAATGTAGTGATATAGTTATGGTAAATAAAGTTAGAAGCAAAGAGTTATCCTGAACAATTATTTCAACGCCTCTGTTAAGGATTCTTCTTCAGCGATCAAATCTGCTTTCCTCTTTCCTATTGAGTTTACCATTCACCTTTCTTTTGTTTCGTTAACTATAGAACAATTTATGATATTCGATGATCTACAATTCAGGTATCATGTTGTAGACTTTCCGGAAGTTATTCTATGCGCTTGCGTGTTTCATTTATACCTTGATTTTGTCTTCACGATTATATGTTCGGTGTAAAATTAAACCATTCAGTTTCTTTGTTCCTCGTCTGTTCTTTTCTGTTCTAAGTGGTTGAAGTCAGTGAAGACTTCTTTCTTGAGTGTGTAGGCTTTCCGGAAGTTATTCTATGCCCTTGAATGATTCATTTTTTGACTTGACTTGGTTTTCACGATTATATGGTCGATGTAAAACAAACCATCCAGTTTTTTTGGTTCTTCTGTTCTTTTCTGCTTTAAGTAGTAAAAGTCTACTGTTGTTCATAGAATGTTATATTTTTCTGCTATTCGTTCGCTAAAAGTTTTCGTCTGAAACGTAGACAAGTTATTGGTCTGTGGTTGTTTGACCGCTTCTTATTCATGATATGACTTCTTTCTTCAGTTTGAAACTGCTGCTTCCATGTTAGCATAATTTGTAGTGTGGTTAATCTTTTGTAGTAATATGCGTAGATTCAGTTGAACTTGATTGACTCTCTCATGTTGACTATCTTTTCAGCTAGTGCAAGTAGCGTAACTGATTTTTCTTTAGGAAGACAAATCTATTTCTACCAACTCCAGATATAGGTTGAAAACTAGTCGACGGGGAAAACTCAAAATTCACAACCGCGGTAAAAGCAATGGGTAATCCCTATCTTTTTCAAGAATTTTATAACAATCCACAGATGAGGCAGGAAAACAATCACTGAAGTCTGAAGAGATATAGCATTAAAAATTCGTCTACATTGCTTAAGATGTCATTTTATATCCGAACTCCTCAGTTTAGATGTTATAGGAATATGCTACATTCTAATTTTTTTTTTTTTTTTCTTTGCAGAAAATTGTTAATAACTTGAAATTTCTCATCCCCTAAATGTCTGGAAGAAAAAAAATTATTTGATGTTACGTCAGAAATTAGAGATTATTGAAAAACTGGACGAAGCTCCTATTTCGTTGAATTTGTAAGTTTAAAAAATAAGAACTGCAGAATCTGAACGAAACAGTAAAACTTGCGACTGAAGATGATGAACTGAAAACACTCACTTTGGATGATTTAAAAGAATGGATACATGAAGACACTAATGAATTCTAAATAAATTCAACGGTAGAATTGCTTCAAAATGATTTGAATTGTCAAGAAATAGAGGAAGAATCAAATTCTTCCGAAAATGGTGAAAATATAAAGAATGATGAAGAAGACTTGGCTTCAGTAGAGAAAGTTATTGATGACGTTACCAAATTCATGGGAAAAATCTTTGTTCCTTATTACAGAATACACAAGTACACATAATTTCCAGAAATACCTTACATTAAAAAAACTAATTAAAAACTAATTAATTAAAAAAACTAGAACAGCGAAAAGTAAGCGAAATGAGAAAAGAAATAAGAAAGACATTTGAAAACAAAAATTATTGAGCATTAAACATTGCAAATTAATATTTACTTTCGTTAGAAAATTATTTTTTTATATATTGTGATAATTTCTTGTGTTTTGTTAACTTATAGATATATTACACATGCCATATTATATCCGAACACGCCCTCATATCCAAACTTCTGAAATTCGATTATGAGGACTTCTACTATATTTGCAAAATTTTCTCTCCTAATTTTGAAAAATGTAGTTCAGCATATATTATGCAATATTCTGTTGATACAATTTTATTTATCCTTCTTTGTCTATTCTTAATTTATTTTTTCTTTCCTTGCTCCGGGGATACCGCTGTTTTATTTTGTATGTGTAACACAGTATAATGCGCAGTCTGTTCGTGTTAGTCGTAACTTAGCCTCCTTGAATGGATAGAACTATTATTACTAATAGTATTTTACCCACACTGAAACTGGCATAAGTATATCAAACGAAGTATTCCCCGATCGGGGCGGGGGTCACTCCTAAACCGTTGCTATGCGATCAGATGATTAGCCGGTCGTGATTCATGTAAGAGAAGCGATCAAGGGATCGAACCAGCTGCTTCTCCACTGGTGTGTTTCAGCGACCAGAGCATAAAATTAAATACAGCCTTTCAAAGCTGAATTCCCTGAAGAGAACTGCCTCACGTTAATCGCAATCGGCGTTTTTACTACATGGTTGTGTGTGTGCATGTGTGCATTATATACATACATATATATATATATATATATATATATATATATATATATATATATATATATATATATATATATATATATATATATATATATATATATATATATATATTAGGTTGGTGCAAAAATAATGACATAAGAATGTCGTTTTTTGACGTTAAAAAACATGAAATTACATGAATCATTCATACAAAAAACAAATATAGAGGTTAATGATTTAAATGGCGAGAATACATCTTCGCAAACAATTTCAATAAGGTACACTAACCCCGAACCTGTATATGAATGATATGATCCCTGTTTATAAAATACAGTTTCATAAGGTCTTTTTTAGTTTTTAGAAGCTTTCGGTCTGTTCCTACAGACATCCTCAGGTATGGAAATAGATTTGTTCTTGTTTTTTACTTCTCGGTAATAAGAGGACAACGAAAATAGAGATGAAATCCGAAAAAATGCTATGAGTAATGTGTTATTGTTTTGGAACGTGCGGTCGCAACGCTGAGTTTGAATTTTAAATTTTAAGGTTGTGCGTTTTTGTACAAATATAGTAATAAGAGAATTCTTTTTTACTGGTAGGTTTTCCGTCAATGTGGCATGAACTATAATTACAGGAATGTCACACTTATTATCCGAAAGTTGCACGTTGGATCAGTTATTTTAATTTCGATTATAGGTGCAGTTTAAATTATAATTACATGAATCATTCATACAAAAAACAAATATAGAGGTTAATGATTTAAATGGCGAGAATACATCTTCGCAAACAATTTCAATAAGGTACACTAACCCCGAACCTGTATATGAATGATATGATCCCTGTTTATAAATTGTTTATAAATTCCAGTTGCATAAGGTCTTTTTAATTTTTACAAGCTTTCGTCTGTTCCTACAGACATCCTCAGGTATGGGAATAGATGTGTTCTTTTTTTACTTCTCGGTAATAAGATTATAATATATTTGTTTTTTGCATGAATGATTCATGTAATTATAAATTAAACTGCACCTATAATCGAAATATATATATATATATATATATATATATATATATATATATATATATATATATATATATATATAAAAAGATAATGGTTCTATAAATAGCAGTTAATACATCTTCGGAAAATGGGCATTTGAGATGAGTAGGAATATACACTCGAATTAGAAATTCCTATATTTCAAATTAGAGATTATTTATCGTTCAAGTTAGATCATCTTATCTATAATGTGCTAACTAAAATCTCACTACGATGTGCTATTTTTCTGCATTACGTTAACAAACATAAAAGCAATATTTGTGTTATTATACAGAAAATCATTTACAAATATATAAATGAGAGTGATTACTTTAAAATTGAAAATTTTAGTTATCTCTGATAAATATATATTTCTGTCGTGAAATAGGATTATTATAAGATAATCGAAGTTAACGCGATCGACGACCCTACGCTACAAATATTAAGTTGGAAATTGAACTAAAAAAGAATATTCTTTTCAGTTAGGGCATGTTAATCGCATTACGCTAGAAAATATCTCGCAAGGCTGAGCCGTTTTTGCTGGGCTGCGATGACAAAGCCACAAGCAGAAAATGGATCATTCTAATCTTGATTATTATTACCACAACTACTAATGATTATTCCGACTAAGATTATAGCTACTGCTGTTATTACTAGAACTGTAGCTTTCACTTATTTTCAAAACGACACGATTTGGCTTTATTTCTAGTTTTAAGAAATCCGACAATGCGCTGTAATCAGTAATCGGTAGTCCCAATGAGTCATTCAAGCCCAACTAAATCTCACAGCGCCCTCTTGCGGCTAATATAAAGGAAGCTGAATAATTCAAATTTATTGTTAATTGAAGCAGATAAACTTCAAACGAGAAATATTTTCGAATTTTTTTTTTTTTCGTTGTTATATGTTCGCACAGAACTTGCAAAAATTGAAGAAAATTTGTGTTATTCTCGTTGTTATGAATCCTTACACTGAAAAACAAGATATTTGAGAAATATTTTATCTTCCTGCCTTCCTTTCTTTATGGAAGGTGGGAGGATAGCAAGACATTGTCTGTCCGCCATTTTTGAGAATCGTTAATTTTGACAGCTATTTAATATTCATTTATTTCATCATTTTTTTTTGTCCTTCATTTTTCACAGAAAAAAAATCTGACGCTTGCATTGTTACATATAAAAGTCCAAAATAGCGTTTTTCGAGCACGAGATCTATGATTCATTCTTATTCATTTACTCGACACCATTTATTTTCCTAAGTAATACCAATTTATATTTTTTATTGTCGCTTGAATAATGACGATTTTTTTTAAATTCCTTATTGCCTGGAAAAAAGTAGACAGGATATATTTATTCTTCTTTTCTATTCGATGTTTATAAGAGTCATGTTTTCACTTATTCATGTCCCGATAATAATGGAAGACACTTCTGCCTTTTCTGTTTTGAAATCAGTCAATGCGAGTCCACCGTTTGATCAAAGCCTTTCCCAAATCCTTCCGTGACAACCGTAACTGTGCTATTCTCTGACATATCTTACCAGAAAACCCGCCTAAATCATCTTTCCATCGGCTGTTGGCTTCTATCTTGCTCTGTTTACTATCCATTGGATACAGATCAAGTAAAGGTTTTGCTCCTTTTGTTCTTTTTCTTCTTGGTATGTGTTACGACGCCCTCCCACAGTACATGTGGGTGTGTGCGCGTTTTCATATACAGGTGTGAATATATCTAATTATCTATCGATATATATATATATATATATATATATATATATATATATATATATATATATATATATATATATATTGTCATCCTAAGACAGACTGTTTCGCTGTATCATCAGTGTGGCTAGACATCCGGTTGCCTTTAGCTAGGATCGAAACCCGACTGAATTGGCGTCAACCAATCGGCTTCTGCCACTAAGCCGTTGGTGCACGGCAGTGATGAAGGTGAATTTAAGTATTTATTTTTAGATAAACACACAGTGACTGAGAGAAGTCAATTCGATTTACCGAAGAGTCTTGCATTATTAGCCGTAATAGTCACTGTTTACAAACCCCACACTTCCTCCCCAGAGAGCTCAACCGAAATAAATTTTTTCAGGAGCATATATATTGTCATCCATATATATATATATATATATATATATATATATATATATATATATATATATATATGTGTGTGTGTGTGTGTGTGTGTGTGTGTGTGTGTGTGTGTCTGTGTGTGTGTATGTGTCTGTGTCTGTGCATCACAAATTAATAACGAGGTAACACTTTTCCATCCTATCCGAAAATTACTAGTTGAAATTTATCAATGTTGACAACCTTCATATCCAGCTACTCTGTAAAATTGCTAAGGTTCTAGAAGAAGGAACAGAAGTTACAGGTCATTTATCTAATTTACTTAAACTATTAGTCAGTCAAATTATTAGCGAGGTTTAATAAAATGCCCCGTTAAAAAAACACTTTAATTGCCTCATTAACATTTTTATGGATACATACATTAACTAAGATGAAATTAAATCGAAATAAAAAGTAAACAATTCCAAAAAGAAAGTAGATTTGGTTAATATACAATATATGATCTTTTTTTTTTAAATGATTTTGAAAATGCGTTGCTCCATCGGTTCATGTCAATTTCCTTATCGCTCTGATGTAATTTCACGTAATACGTTGGCGATTTCCTGTCATAAGTCAACCTTGCTTCTAAATTGGCGTTCATTCTCATAAACACGTCGCTTCAGAATGCCCCACAAGTTTTCAATTAAGTTCAAGTCTGGAGAATTGACCGGCTAGTTCATCTTCCGCAGAAGCCTAATTTCTGCAGGTACTTTATGCGCTGAATGCAAGGAGCATTATCTTGCATAAATACGATGGTTCTCCTAAAGATGATTCTTTGCTTTTCTTAAGCCAAGATTCCAGGTGCTTTTTGAGGAAGGCTGTATTAAGTATCTGCAACTAATGTCACTCTCCACGGACCAACCATGATACCTCCAATAATACCAGCCCCACTCATAATAGCTCCTCCTCCTTGTTGGCGTGTCAAGCAGTGATGACGATCTTTGTACTTTTACGGCCCAAACTTTGCTTCAACCATCAGGGCCATCAAGTGTTGTACGAATCTAACCTGCGAATCGACCTTCATGTTCTCCTTTGCCCATTTCAAACGCATTTGTATCTGTACTTTTGTCAATCGAGCTTTTGTCACTGGTCTCCCTGAAAGCCCGACCTTTTTCAGAAGACGATAGTGACTACTTCTGGACACTGTTGTTTCTCCACTGCTCAAAAGCGCTCTACTGGTCAGGACTGGGTTATTTCCAACTTCACGTTTCGTTCGTGATAAAGAACGTTGAGAAACAACCTTCAAGTGACCTTTATCGGCCATCTTACTTAACATTATAGAATCTGCAACAAACCTTTTCGCAGTTTGGTGATCCAATTAGTTTGGATATTTCTAAAGTAGATTTACCTTTGGAAAGTTCAGAGGTTATAACATCTTTCTCAGAAGGAGTCAAGTCAGATTTGCGACCCATAATCATACTGTGAAAATTTCGTTAAATTCTGTGGTACGCTATATTTAAATATATGCTATATTTACGGTTAAAAGTACTCAATATCAGAGATAGGGCATATGTAAATTTAAAGGTGAACACTGATGTCAATCACGTGGCGACTATCTGTTTCATACTTGAACACAATGGCATGAAGATTGTGGCCAAGCATGAAACAGACTGTCGCCACTTGGTGTTGACATCAGTGTCCACGTTTATATTTGCATATGCTCTATCTCTAATATTGAGTACTTTTAACTGTAAATATAGCATACCATAGATAGATAGATAGATAGATAGATAGATAGATAGATAGATAGATGGGAGGAGGTTGAGATAGATAGATAGATAGATAGATAGATAGATAGATAGATAGATATGAACAGAATGAGGTAGAGATGAACAGAATGGCATAGATAGATAGATAGATAGATAGATAGATAGATAGATAGATAGATAGATAGAAATAGAAAGAAAGAAAGAAAGAAAGAGACGGTGGGAGATAAATAGAAATATGAACAGAATGAGATAGATAGATAGATAGATAGATAGATAGATAGATAGATAGATAGATAGATATTAGTGAATATACATAATATCTCACGTCGATAACTTGACTCTGACTTTCATGGGAATACCGAATTTGAATATCCTGCACGTGAAGACTGCATATTTGCATGAAAGACGAGGTATCCACATGGGATGTTATATATATTAACTAATATATACTTAATAGCGCTCTTATATAAGCGTTATGGGGTCCAACCCTTAACAATAATATTGAGCACTTTTTATGACATCTGAGAAATATATATATATATAAAATATATTTATATATATATGTGAAAAGTGTATATAAATATAAATAAATATATATATGTATAATTATTTATATATTATATGAGCGGTACTTATTAGAAAGCGCTCAATATCAGAGATAGAGCTAACATATTTCGTTGGATAGATGTGAGTTTGTGACCCTGGGTTTCACGCTTTACCGATCGACAGACAAATATATATATGTACGTGCAAATATATGTGTGTATATTTATGTTTTTATCATACCCATATATATATATATATATATATATATTACTAATAATTATACTCGGTTGTAAAAAAAAAACCTCGGATAGCACAACTTGCAAGTCTATCAAAACAAATTTGTATCCGATTAAGAAATTGGAAAATAAAAGAAAGAAATAGAAACATCCGAACAGGCCGAAACAAATCGTCCAGTGCCTTAAGTTTTTAGTCCAAAGAAGAAGAAGAAAAAAAAACAAACGAGTAACTAAGGTAAAACATAGAGTGCTCAATACGCTAAGCAGAGCTAGGATAAATAAAATAAATCCTAAAGAGCCAGAAACTACCTACCTAGGTTTAACTGAACGGCTCTTCAAATTACCCTATATATATATGTGTGTGTGTGTGTGTGTGTGTGTGTGTGTGTGTGTGTGTGTGTGTTTTTATTTTATTTTATATATTTTAAGCCAAAAAATACTCTCTACTGACCATGGGATCAAATGCACGGTGCGATGGTTAAATTGTCGCCATTTCGCGTATGAGTTGTTTGTTGCTTGTTGTTCTTGTTTTATTTTTGTTTGTTTTTTTGTATTTTTGTTTTTTGACTGCACAGTATAGTAGGGTCTGTTGGACACTGTGAGAAAAAGAACACTATGACGCAATTCACTCCCACCATAAATTTGGAAAGCGCATGCTGTACTGCTGAGAACTCGAGCCGTAAACTCTAATACAAACATTTCAGAGTATTTGGGTGTCAATCAATAAAGTTAAGATATTATTTCGGGGGTTCTTTTCTTATCAGTGCCGAGGATTCGGAAAGAGTTGGATGAGTCTAATGGTGATTACGAAGGTACGCCAGCTCGGAAAACTCACTCTGATCCTTCTAAGAAAAGAAACCCCGAAATAATATCTTAACTTTACTAATGTTCACTCACATTAGACTCAAGAACCACTCAAGTTAGAGCATCAGTGAAGGAAATGAGAACTGAAGAGTAAACGGGTGGGGTGGGGATGTGATTAAAAAGAATAAATAATTTTAAAATGTTGACAATCCAATTAGTCCTGGATGTCAAATCAATTTATAAAATACAAAGTAATCAAAAGAAAATTTCGTTATTTTTTTTTCAGTAAGGAAGTAAATGCACCTCTATGATATATCATTGTATTCGTTCAATAATTAAAACATAAAAATTGATTTTCTGTCCAAAGAATTCTCGAATTTATTACTAAGCCAATCGATATGAGGCACAGAATTGATCATCTGATTAATTTAGACCCAAACCATGATTACTCTTGTATCTGTATATCTACTTTAGCTATATGATCTATTTTTATCTAGCAATATAAATAATCGTCATGAAAAACAAATATTTTTCACACCTCCTATTAATAGGATTTTACCGATTCAAAACCTATATTTAAAAAAAACTTCCTCATAATTTTCAATGTAATATTTATTCTTTTGTTATTCGCATTTTCTAACTTTCTTAGCGGAATATCTGGAATGTAAAAAAAAAACATTTTTAAAATGTACTTACTTCCTAATCACGCCAGTAGAAGTATAAATTGTTAGAGGCCCAAAAGAAACTGATAGATAGAAACTGAGAAATCTATAGAGAGAGAATGAGGAATTGTATTATAGGTGGAGCCATAAATATTGCAAAAAGAAAACCGATCAAAAAAGAGATAGATAGATAGATAGATAGATAGATAGATAGATAGATAGATCCATTCATCCGATGACAGGCAAGACAGACACACAAATAGATTAGAAAAGAAAGGTTAACATAGATAGATAGATAGATAGATAGATAGATAGATAGATAGATAGATAGATCCATCCAATGAGAGGCAAGACAGACACACAAATAGATTAGAAAAGAAAGGTTAACATAGATAGATAGATAGATAGATAGATAGATAGATAGATAGATAGATAGATAGATAGATCCATCCGATGAGAGGCAAGACAGACACACAAATAGATTAGAAAAGAAAGGTTAACATAGATAGATAGATAGATAGATAGATAGATAGATAGATAGATAGATAGATCAGAGCGTAATTATGCCCACATTTAATAAATAGCTTCTGATATTAAATTTTGATCAATCTAATTTGCAACGTAATTAATCACTATATACCGAAGATTCAATTTATAATTTGGGATAAATTAATATTTCAGATGACAGAGGAACGCATGCCTTAAAGCCGCAGTTCATTTTCTATTCTCATTTGGATTTTCATATAATTGGTTTTTCCTTCTGTAATCCCGGTTTTATCCATATTTTCATTCAGCTAACATGAAGACATGAAGGACAGAGACGAAATGAAATCTTTATATTCATCAATTTTTCGCGCCTGATACATTTTCAAGGCCGTTTCAAATTGCAGAAAAAAAAATATTCTCCAGAACTTAATCTCTATAAGAAATTAAAATCCGTAAATTGAGGGCTGAAGTTCTTTTACTGCCTTCTTATTGATTTATTTTATTGTCGATGCTTCTGTCCCCGAAAAATAAAAATGTCCCAAAATGCAAATTACAAATCGCAGATACCAAAATCAAACAAGTAAAAAGAAATCTAAATATCTGGGAATCGTTTTAACAGAAAATGCAGCACATAAATCCGAAGGCGTATTGGGATAGCCAAAGATGCTTTCCAAAAGCTAAGCAGAGTATTAAAAAACAGAAAAATCTTCGTCAGAAACTAAGAATACTATGATGTCTATCCTCCTATATGGGCGTTAATGCTGGAAAATCTCTTTTCAAAGATGAAGAAGAGACTTAAACCAACAGAAATGTCATTGGCCAGAGGAAATTGTCCAGCATTTACTGCCATATAGGATTACATAGCAATTCAGCACACTTTTGTTTGTTTCATTTGCTTCAATTTGCAATGTCTTTTTGTTTACAACAACGCTGCCTATATTGTGAAATTACAGCAGCTGCTTGTTTCTGATGCACCAAATTCATGACCCACACTCCTCTCTCTTTCTCTCTCTTTCTCTCTCCATTCTGTTTTGATATAGTTAATAGTTTGTCCTCTCTTCTCACTTTCCTTTGCCGTCTTGTCTAAAAGAGTTCTTACAGTTTTTCTTCGGAGTTTGCCATCAACACGGTATCATCGGCGGCGTAGCTTATGTTGTTAAGATTATGGCCGCGCCGTCCTGGGTATAAAGTTAAACCACATTCGCGTCCTAGGTAAGACGATAGACTACGTCCAACAGCAAGGCCTCTGATCAGGAGGTTTTTAGGAGCTTGGAACCACCTCTTAATTGCTGGTGTTCCCATGGCCACCATGACCTGGGGTGGTAGCACCTACCAGGGTCCCAGCTATGAGCAAATAGTTAACCCCCAAAGTGGGGCCAAAACACTATGAAAGTTTAAAAAGAGGTTTTAATACTTTTCTGAAAAAATTATTAACAGCAATACAATTTTGGGAAAAAAATATTACCAGAATAAAAATCTTGTCAACATTAAATAACCCATTGAGGTTGATATGCCGTAAAACAAAACAAACCAAACCATTATGGCCGCTGCTAATAAATCCTGGTTTGAGGTTGATATGCCGTAACACAAAACAAACCAAACCATTATGGCCGCTGCTAATAAATCCTGGTTTGAGGTTGATATGCCGTAACACAAAACAAACCAAACCATTACGGCCGTTGCAAATAAATCCTGGTTTGAGGTTGATATGCCGAAAAACAAAACAAATCAAACCATTATGGCCGCTGCTAATAAATCCTGGTAGGATTTTTAGTTCTCTCAGGATCTGTATGGATTAAATAAATCCTGAGATAAAATAAATACGCGCTTTACTTTCCGTTCTATTTTGCTTACTTGTTTAACTTGCAGGCGGTTTTTCCCTATTAACTGATGCGGATTATTCTAAAAAAGCAAATAAATAAAACGAAAAAATATGACATTTAAAATTGTTCCTTTTTTTTAATCATCTTTATATTTCATTTTTTAACATCTAATTTAATCTCGAAAAATGCCATGGTTCTTCAGGGCGTAGGCGATCATGGATGTAGGCGATCATGGACGTAGGCGATCATGAACGTAGGCGATCATGGACTTTCTACAGATTCCCTCTGTTAATTATCGCCTAACTGCCATCCATACTTCGGAAAAATAGTATCGATACCTTTTCCACGGTATGGAATTCAGAGATGTCCTTCTTTTAGACTGAGTGTCACCCAATGTTAGAGACACCTGTCTACCCTGCTATTTAACAGATAGCTAATGAGGTGAAGAGCTGGATTCATGCCTTTCTCATGTAACTACAAGTACATGTATTCTTGCTATTTCGTTAATCCAGTTACCCGTAATCCAGTTTCTTATTAATCCGACTACTTGTAATCCGATTTCTTCACAGCTCCCACCACCTGTAATCTATGTGATTCACTAATCCGTCTACTTGACATAATAATATTTACTCTTATTTAACGCCAGCGAATAAAACAAAAGCATCTGGTGATGTGAATCGACGGCAAACGCAGGAGGCCAGGTTGCAATACGAACTCGGCCTGCCAGTTTACCTTTCCGGGCCGGTATTCGTTACACTATCCTACAGACAAATCTTGAAGAATCCCAGTTTATCTAACGAAATCTAAAGTCTCTCCAGATATCTCGATATTTTTTTAAATGTTTCATTTCAACTGGCAAGCACGATGAATTGAGGGAATCAGAACTTCACTTGATTGAACCAATTCTTTGGTTAACAAAATTTAGGATTCTGTGATGGGTGCTCAAGATTTACGTAATTTGGCAGAGATTCTCACGCAGACGAAAGAAAACCGTCTTCTCACACTCTCCCATCTAAGGAGATTATGCTTCCTTTGATGATCGGAATTCCAACATCTTGATTTTCCCTTGGTTCGAACACCTCCCGTTAATGATGACGACGACGATGATGTTGGGAAAATATCCTCAACGAAACGGATCAAAAGCTTCTAAATCGATACACAGAGTTTTGTACACTCACTGGTCTATATGTAGGTCTATGTCCATTTCTATGTAACTATGTGTCTATGGATATGGCTATATCTATGTCTATGCGTATAGACATGTCTATGGCTATGGCTGTGGCCATGACTATATCTATGGTTATGTCTATGTATGTTGCTATGGTTATGTCTAGGACTAGGGCAATGTCTACAACTATATCGATGGCTATAGTTATGGATAAGTCAATGGCTATGACTGTGTTTATAGCTATGACTATGACTATGTCTATGGATATGTCTGTTGCTATGGCTATGTCTGTTGCTATGGCTATGTCTGTTGCTATGGCTATGATTATATCTATGCCTGTGTCTATGTGTTGGTCTATGGCTATCGCTATTTTTGTGGCTATGGCTATATCTATTGCTATGGCTACGGCTATATCTGTAGCTATATCTGTGATCTCTCGCTATACCTATGGATATGGCTATGGCTATGGCTATATCTATATCTATGCCTGTGGCTATGCTAGATCTACGTATATGTCTATGGGTGTCTAGGACTATGGGTATGTCTGCGATAGCTATGGTTATGGCTATGTCTATGTCTATGCCTATGGCTATGTCTATAGCTATATCTATGGATATGTCTATGTCTATGCCAATGATTATGCCTATGGCTATGTCTCTGGCTATGTCTCTGGCTATGGTTATGAGGTGTTTCCACGCTCCTCAAAATTCCCATTTTCCCCATTGGAAGCCTTGCTGCCGGATGTAGTTTATCATCATGCCCAGGAATATGCATGTCCTAAAAACTAACCATGAAAAGTGTTGCTTGTAACATTAAAACCCTATTAAAGAGGTTCCTGTGAACAGAGATAATTATAACTCGGGAGACGCATAGATTTAGGTGGTACATATTTTACAAATACTCTAATGTACTGAAGTTTTCGAGGGTAGCAGGATTTTGCTGCAACAATCATCAAGTACACAAGTATCCCAACTGAAAACCGATCCCAGACAGATATATATATATATATATATATATATAGATGTGTGTGTGTGTGTTGTGCATGGATTTACTCCATTAATCCGACTAACGCCAATCCGCTTCTTATATTAATCAGACTAAGTCTAATCTGTCTTTTTCACTAATCCGGCTCCCTCCAATACAAGCATTCAATTCGATTCCTACATTAATCTGCCTGCCTGTAATCCGGTAAATTAATCAGACTACTTCTAAACTGGCTCTTTCTAATCTTTCTGTTTTTTGTGTGGCGTACGATGGCCGTTAATAAATCAAGACTTCAATCTGAGGATAAAACAATATTTAATTACAACCGCAAATAAATACTTAACACGAACAAAGAAGTAAAATTCAAAGAAAGAAAATTAACCATTTCACTGAATACCTTGTTAGTAGCGCAGCTGGGCTACCTCATCCAGTAAATCCGATATCAAACCCCAATCGATGCACAATAATTCACACTCATTCGACTGGATAGTTCCACTCAATAGTCACTTAATAATCATACCAGTCTATTTATACAACTGGCGGAAAACATTTATTCATAAGTCGAGCATGTCACGTCGAACCTCGGTGTTGGTAGTTACACAATTTCTTCCTATATGACACTTTTCTAATCTGACATCCTGTCCATGGCTATCTTTCGCACCGATGATAAATTAAGCTATGAGCAGAGTTGTAATGCTGATGAAACTGCTTTATATTTTGTGTGTATGCCAATCAGAGAAACTATATATATATATATATATATATATATATATATATATATATATATATATATATATATATATATATTGATAATATTAGTGGTAAATATACACTTACATATGCAATCATATATCTAAAATATATATAAATATACAT